TATGCCTAAGTCTTGGAAAAATCTCTAATTATCCCCATACACAAGGAAAAGAAAGGTCCAGCAAACAACCCAGCCAACTACCGTCCAATTGGATTGCTATCGTTATTAGCGAAAGGACTCGAAAAAGTACTTTGCAGAAGACTAACATCTCACTTGCTTATTAACAGAAAAATATCGGAAAGACAACACGGTTTCCTACCAACAAGATCGACCATAACTGCACTACAAGGCATTATGAAGGATATTGAAAATTCGAAAACATCGAACAAATATGTCGCCTTACTTATGCTTGACATAAAAGGAGCATTTGATAATCTCAACTGGACAAAGACAATTGAAATAGTTAGAAAAACATGGTCTCCGGAATACGCAAAATGGCTAGAAGATTATTTCTCTCAAAGAGAATATGAAGTGCAATTCGCGAACAGCACATTTCGATTCTCACCTGAAAAAGGATGCGTTCAAGGAAGTCCACTATCACCAATACTCTGGAATCTAACTATGAACTTGTTGTTAGAAAGGCTTCAAGCAGTCGGAGCAAAGGCAACTGCATATGCCGATGATATAACCATTCTTATAGAGGCAGACTCACATGAAAATTACAAAAAACAATTTGACAAGATAATAAACATGGCAGAAGAATGGTCGAACGAAGTCGAGCTGGAATTTGCCAAAGACAAGACTGAATTACTGGTGATCAAAGGAAAAAATATTGACGATATAACAATTTACGAACACCTTATCCAATTGAAAATCAAACACCAAGTCAAAATCTTAGGTATCTACGTCGATGCTAAACAATTATGGACACACCAAATAAAACAAGCAGCAATCAAAGCTCTAAAAGTTACACAATTAATGAAAGCCATATGTTGTCGCGGATATGGCATCAGCAAAAACCTAGCAAATCTGATTTATAAAATGGTATACGTTCCGATAGTGAGTTATGGAGCTGAAATATGGGGCAAGGCCCTAGAGAAAAAACACAACGCAAAGATACTCAAAGCGAGCCAAAAAAGCATCATTACCAATCTACTCGGAGCATACAGAAACAACAATATCTCTGATTTACTTATCCTCTCAAATCTAACTGGAATCGATATAGAGATAAGAGCTAAATATGAAAAAGCATCCTTACTGAATGGAAAGACTTCAGTCATAATGGACATCAAAGACCGTCAAATGGAAATTAAAACATCAATCCACCTTCACATTCCACCACAAGAATGGCCACAAATCGAAATAGGTGACTGTAAGCAGAATATCTCAAAAGAAGGAATACAAATCTTTACTGATGGGTCAGTAAGTGAAAAAGGAGTAGGTGCTGCCTGGGCAATAACTGATGGACCAACCGTTATAAGAGAAAGAAAATTAAAACTTGCAAACCAGTGCACAATATACCAGGCCGAAGGCCTCGCGGTCAAAGACGCACTGAGTAATTTAGAGAAATATATCAAAGAAATTCAAACAGTCAACATATTTACAGACTCAAGATCTATAATCACAGCCCTGCAGAATACCAAAACTGACAACGAAATTATATGCGATATCAAGATTCTAATTAAATACTTAAACGGAAAAGGATGGAAAATTATTTTCAATTGGATCAAAGGCCATGCAAACCACACAGGAAACGAACTTGCAGACATGTTAGCGAAAAAAGCTGCTCAAGGTCATGGCAGTCTACAATACACTGTCATCCCAAAAGCTTACATCAAACAAAGAATCAAAGAATGGGCACAGGAGACTAGCTGGAATGAACACAAACATAAGACATCGAATACGCTCAAACAATTTGTGGAATCACCCCTGCCTAAGAATACAGTAATGTGTAAACAACTAATCTGGTTACTAACTGGCAAGGGCCCGTTTAACTACTACCTTCACAAAATGAAAATTATCGACACGCCACTCTGTCAATGCAAAGTGAACGAACAAACATCTATACATCTCATTACGAGATGCGAAATTTTCAGAAACCTTAGAAGGAATACTTTATACGAAGATTATCCCACCCCTACCAAAATAAACAAAATGCTTAAAGACAGTGAAGAAGTTGAGAAACTGAACAGGTTTGCCGAAAAATTAGTGAAAGAACTCTACGAATTAAATCGTAGAGAGGCTAATATGTCTGCTGCAAATGGAGGGTGAAACAAACTATCCAACTAATTCAACCAATCAACCAATCAGTCAACCAACCAGTCAACCAACCAATCAACCAACCAGTCAACCAACCAGTCAACCAACCAGTCAACCAAACAGTCAACAAACCAGTGAACCAACCAGTCAATCAAAAAATAAAACAGTCAATCAACCAACCAGTCAACCAACCAGTCAAACAACCAGTCAACCAAACAGTCAACCAACCAGTCAATCGCACAACCAAACAACCGACTTAAAGGCTTAGACCTACGACAGCCAAAT